CGAATAGTTACATGAGGTTTGAGAGAAAGCCGAGGGGAACACAAAGAAATTATTTTAAAATTCGTGTGGTAAATCAGCTTCGCACAGAAAACTGGAGATTCCGTTCTATCTGTTTTCTGATGGAGGTCAGCAAATGGTTTAGCGGGTTCCAATAAATGATTATTTTTTCTTCATAATCGTTCAAAATCACTATTTTCATCTTCTATGAACATTTCTAAACAGAATGATCTAGCAACGATCGTTTTTGATGCAGTGAATCAGGTACCGTGTTAGTATGTGGAATCGTCTTCACTAAACCTGGGTTTTTGATCCGATTGGGTCTCGGGAGGATCGGTGGAATAGTTTTCAAAGTATGGTCCAAACCACGTTGGTTGTTCATACAGCACGTCCTCCGCCATTAGTTCCTCTTCCTCGTGCGGATTGTACAGTTCTACCGGCATTGGGAGCCGATAGTATGGAACTGATTTTCCGATAATTCATTTGAGAAGCGGAGCGGTCACGTGAATGTGAAAGACAGACGGGTAGAAAAAGAGCAAGGGAGTTGATTGTATTTCGAATTTTTCCAAATTCGCGTAAAACTGGTATAGTTTAGAGGACAAGAAATCGAACCAATTCACTTGATTTGTTGATAATTAAGATAAAATAAAATGTCAACGTGTCAGGTGAACCGCTGAAAAGACATTATAAAACTGTTTATTATCGTTGAAGTTCATGAGTAGTACTCGGTTATCGAACCTGTCGGATGGTTCAAACCCAGAAGTGTATTTCTGGGAGTTTGTCTGCTAGGCCATCAGTTGGCAACTTCCAGCAGAGTCAACCAAAAATGTACTATGGTTTCGTATCCTCACAACCGTCCAGATTCGTCAAGGCTTCATCCCTCAAGTTGTTTAGTTGCCTCTATCTTCTGTCACAGTGAAGAAAATATATTGTACTGTTATTAGCATACGAAGTTGGGGAACTCTGTCAAACAACTTAGCATACAGGGTCTTCCGGAGAAAGAGATGAAGGAATTGCAGAGTAATGTGAAACAGGAGGAATATTAGTTTTACACTGAAAATTTTTATCATTTCACGTGGAATGTTGCTTTTGGGATTCGCCATGTCTCACCTATTTGTCAATTAGGCCACACAACTGAAAATGTTGTCTATAGATGGATTGTGGCTGGCTGTCGCTGATTGCCGCTCACTGAGGGAGCCATGACCAGGTCGTAGTAAAGTGCATCTTGCATAGAACCACATTCAGTCAGAAACGGATGTTTGTTTCGTTTTTCCCGGTGCATTGTCATAGCTTAAATTCGTACATCATGATGCCTACAAAATGAAGGACTTTCGACCGACAATACAATCAACAAGGCCCAGTTTCACTGATTAGTTGGATCAAAGCAAGAGGGGACAGGCAACATCGCGTTCAACTAATTCTTCTCTCCGCCATCACACAAACTAATTGGTCGAATGTATCAAAAATGGAAATCTGGAAAGTAGTAGTAGTGGTCGTTCATCCCTAAGTATTCAACCGAATACGGCTTGTACATGCCATCAACATGAAACTGGAAGCATTTCTAGTGTTTCACTTATCCTAGAGTCACAGAAATGGTCATAGTTTAGGAGATACAATTTGTAATTTCAGTACCGTGCGGTGGTCTGGACACAAGACTAGTGTACAGTTAAGTGCGTTCGATCGATACATGCTTGCGATGAAAACGGTGAACTATTCCTGAGATCACTATTGCCATACGATGAAAGTATTGGTTACGCTATCTGCTCAAATTCATGCCACATCACGCGTTCAAAACCGATCAGACGCAAAAAGAATCAGTCAGTGTCATCTGAATTACCTTTTTCAATAGGTTTTTCCACAGCGCTCTCGTTCTGCATTATTCTGCCTGATATCGGGTGGAGCGTGTAGTCGCTGGGTTCTTCCTAACGATAAATAATTTAATTTAAAACCAGTAGCTGGTTGCCTACCCCCGTTCCAAAGTGCTGTCCAAACGCATTACCGTTTTCTCTGGCATCGTCCACTGAATAGAAGGACCAAGCGCGGTTTTGCGGCACTGATTTGTAGATCGTAGAAGCATAAGGTGCATCCGAAAGGGGAGGGTGAGAGAAAGCATGCAATCAAGCAAAACAGATGAGTAATGTATTAAGAGGTAACCTATCAGAGTACCATCGAGCAAAGAATGAAGTTAAAGCAAAAATAATGGTGTTCACGGGACTGCACTGAAAATAATCATTTGTAATGGAAAAGCATTGATCCCTTGAACGATTGGAACACCCTGCTTTTTTTAGATACACTACAATCACTTGTTCTTTAAATATATTAGACGCACACCAAATTGAAACCGCACTACCATGTACTGGTATGGTATGAAACAATTACAGATTTGGATGAGAGTTGAGATGAAATAGTAAAACGAGTGGACAGCATGTCAGTTTTTGTGTCATCTGATAAACGGCGAACTTTGGTATGGACATGTCTCTTTTCATCTACACATTTGACCGACGCTAATAATTCCTGCAGAAGTGAATATTTGTCCATGGTGAGAAAACGGTTCACAACAAGCTTAAATTCGATGAAAGTTCACACGGAAACAACGGTATTTCGAAAAGAACTATTGGCATTTCCCATTCACAGAACTGGACTGGATTAATTAGACCCTTCTTTTGCCACCTGTAAATTTCCTTTTCTCAAGTTTTTTCCGACAGTTCACTTCATCAGTCTTGGTTATTCAAAACTGGGGAAATGATAACAGGACAAAACAAATACCCGTTGAAACGCGTCAAGGTTTCAAAATACACGAAATGAGATTTAATGTAGAGTTATTTCATTATCTATCTATCTATCTATCTATCTATCTATCTATCTATCTATCTATCTATCTATCTATCTATCTATCTATCTATCTATCTATCTA